CGTGTGAACACAGAAATAAACTCTGTGCGTGGAATTTGACTGTCTTAAGAAAAATCCAGCCACACTGACCCAAGGTTCTTACACGCTGTAACTACGAACGCGTTCTTACATCTGCACGCGGACTTAGCTAAATTTTGCTTCGAAACATCTGAAGAACGACCTGTTGAAAGTTCAACATCACGACTGGCAAATGACTGCGACGTAAAGACGGGTGGGAGAGTGGAGACAAAGCTCCACGCATTCTTAATATTAGGTGATATTTACGACCACAAGGACTAGACTTTGCGACATTAACAGCGAGACGATGGGTCTTCTGGGTTGTTGCGCAGTGGAGGGAAAAGAAATCACCAGGTACTAGAAGAGAGTACGTAGTTCGGGTAACTAAGTAGACGGCTTACGGCACCGAATTAACCAAAGCCCTCCACCGGTCCCTGTCCTGGGTGTTTCACGCTAAAGTCGCCGTCTTCCTCACAGCTGAGATAATTTTAACTGCTCACTTGTTCAAGTAAGTTTTTGAGTACGACTGATGAACAAATGATATGACGCTGACGCCAAGACAACTGGGACAGAGTTAATACAGCAGATTCTCGTTATACAACGGGCGCCGAGGGGCGCACACGGACAGTCAAACAGGACAGGGCGTCGAAGAAAATCATGTTCTGCGATTATGCGCTCCATTAGACGGAATCTTCATATTCGTCGCCGTAGGAACGTAAAATCTCACTTAGGGCAGGACAATGGACCACTTTTGATTTCGAAATAAACGTGATGGTGATTCGCCCGTACGCACGCGAACTTACAAACTCAGCCAAAAAACTTTCCAAGAAGTTAAGTAAAGTGACTGAGACGGTTCACTGACAGACTCTCAACTCCGACCGCTTGGTCAAGGAAGACCACACCTTTTATGGAAGTAGGACGTTCAATGCCTTGTTCAAACAAGAGCGCTGATGGACCCTACCCTGCGCAAAATCAATCAAATCCCAACTGTCACAGACATTTTTTAATATTATACTGCCATTTACGTCTAGATCTTCCGAGAGGCCTCTTTAAGCCTCCGTTCCACGGAATATTATGAGCCAGGCTTACCTTGCAACTACTGGTCGAGGCGCCTGGTCCATCAGCATGATTCGGCGTTGTCAAATCGCCACAGTGTCACCAGCAGCATGAAACTTGTGTCGCTCTGCCCCATACGACGACGGTGATCTGATGAACACCCGGCAGCAGGCAGCGACGGAGTGGAGGGGTCCAGCGCCCTGCGCACTCCTGCAGGGGAACAGACGTTTCGCCAATAGAAAGCCGTTCCTTGCGCACGTGATTCAAACGAGTGACGCGTGCAGTCACCAGCCCTCGACAAAACTGCATCGTCCTAACCTTCACTTTACTGACTTTACTAATAACGAGATTTATCAGCGTCCGAAATACACGTGGAACTTAATGATTTGCTTAGAAATCAGCAGTTAATTTGTTTACATTCACTAATGTCGTTGAACGAACCAATTTGAGAGCGAACAAAGAAGGGAGATGTTCTAGGTTGTGGTGCCACGTGGACTTCTAGGCAGATAGAGACAATTCAAAATAGAATACTATCTCCATATTCAGGATTGAAGACTGAATCTGTAGTCTGTGCCACAGCCCAGAACAACATCGACAGAAACACATTAGATTGGAGATGGAGACAGCAGGATCCTCATTAACATTGATAATCATCCACGACCTGAAGACAGTAATCTAAGGTTTTTACCTCCATTAACTCCTCACACGTCAAAGTTAAAGAAATTTGTTTAACAACGTGCTCCATTTTACTAACTCTGAGTTGCTAACTACTTTATTTTATTTTTCAAAAGCAACGATTTGAATGACTGGAAGTATTGTTAAAAAATCACAAATAAGTAAACAGACTGAAATAAATAAATAAATAAATGCACTTTTCTCTGTACTTACACGTTATGCCGACGTCAACTGCAAGATTGTATCGAAAGATATGTTCTGTCTCCATATACGGCTCGGAGAGAAACCTGTTTCAGGACCACCATGTTCACCATGAATCTCTCCTGAAAGCGACCGAAACTGAACCCGAGTCTCCGCGGGGGAGAATTCGTCCAGCCTGATGATACGACCTCACATAAACCTCTGTTAAAAAATTACAGTTCAGTTTCACCACATATTTTGTTCGTAGTTTTTCGAGAATTTCGTTAGGTAAGAAGGTTGGCTTTTCAGGTTTTAATTATCTTCTGGTCTGTAAGTCCCAAGTTATCGAATAGCGATGGTTACTTATCTGTAAGGGTTTCTTGCAGCTCGACGTAGGTACTCCCAGCAAACACAACTCTTTCGTTTTTGCTCGTGACTACTAAAAACTGTATTTATTTTGTGCACGTTTTAAATTTTCCGGCCGGAAGACGCCATAGACATGCGAGCTACATTGCTCGGAACTACCGTAGGTGGCAGCACGAACCGTGGCACGGGACTAGTTGTGCCATCTATACTGCTCGATTGGCTAATAGCTGAAGAGCGATAAGCGTGTTGAGAGGGAAGATAACGATGGTAGTATATACTCGAGCGTTACGTTCTGGTTCTTAGTAAACAATCATTTAAATTCAATCTTCTAGCAAATAAGTGTGTGCAAATAAACAGTTATCATGTGGAGTCAAAATCTGCCTGATACTCAGAACGCGAGAGATGATATATATAGCCAAGAAAACGAGAATCCAAATGTGTGGGGAAGACTGTATGCAACTAAAGAAAAGTTCATATCGTTAGGTACATGCATTATTTTTCATTTTGAATTAGCCTGCGAATGAAATTTAGTTACATACCCGTATTTCAAGGACAAACTACACTAGATCTAATAACGTGCAAAATTACGTCATTTATAGTTTTGTGGCATGAATACAGATGTATACGTAAAATGTAATTACACCCAAAAGTTTCTCCTCAAAGTAATATGCTATTATATAATTATAAATTGTTCACACGTAGTTTACTATTCAGAAAAGAACATAACACGCCGGCTATTTCCTTATGAACAAAATTTTCAACATTTTGCTTCTTCAACCTCCCACCTCATTTAGTAACTAAATGCCCAGATTTTGACACAGTACTTCAGTGATATGCCAGGGTCTCCATTGTGTTCTCTTCCCTTAGAATTTCTGACCAAATGTTAATGCTTTTGAATCTCTCCCATGCATACTACATTTACTGTCTGTCCCAATCCAAACCATATTTAGAACAGCAGTTTTCTCAAACTTATCCCAGAATATTGTCCAGAGTAATGTGCTCTCAAATACCGTGTCTGTAGACTGAGACTACACTGTAAATGTGCCAGATTGTAAATTAAGTTAATTTGTCAGACTGAATGCTGCTTCTAGAGCACAACTAATATTAAATGGCATGTAAATGACTTGCGTGGACTGTTAAGGGTTTGTCGGGGGCTGCGTTCCGACAGTTGAGTGATGTACGTAGTATGCACCTGAGCTACTTGGGTTGCGCACAATTGCATTCCTGTCACAAGGTGGCATCTCAGTTTCCACTTTCCACACTGAAGATGAATGTCTTCTGGGATGTTATGCTGTGTAGTCTAGTAGGTAGTATTGAGGAGATTATTGACTCCATTATCAGGGTAGTGAGAACCTGAAATTTCACATAATAAAGTGTAAATTTCTTACAGATCTGTCAGATAATGAATACACTATCGGGCGTGCTCAGGACTGCAGTATTACGATCTCATATTTAGAAGTCAGAGAGGATGTCTTGCAGACCATTAGCAAGCAGCACTGCAGAATTGTAAGAACAGAAGTTTCATCAGGTACACCGGAAGTTTACCTGGAAGATTACAGTTCCAATGGGACATACGTGAACAGTGAAAAAATTGGGAAAGGGAACAAGCGAATACTTAAAAACAACGATCATATTTCACTGGCTTCACCTCAGTTTAAAGGTACGTTAATTTTAATTGTTAACTGTTGCAAAAATATCAGGCATGTGCTTTATTGGTGTGAACTTTGGATTACGTGGCCTACGCAATTGATCGCATGTAGCGTAGAGCAGTGTAAAAGCAGCGCTTGAATTTTGAAGCTAATCTAGTTCTTGATAACTCCTTTTGCTTTCTGTAACAGGAAGACGCACGTGCCTCACCTCCTGCTACCTTTCATGAAATTAGTCCAACTCATCTTTAAGTCCTGAATCATTTAAATCATTAATCTCACCAACTGTTCCTCTGTGACTACACGATCTCGAGTAATGCGTAATTTCACTCTTGCAGTGTATGTATATGTGGATGCCTCGGATGATGGCAGGAATTTTCCTGAAGAGATACGGTCGGAGTATATCGTTACTAAAGAACTAGGTGCCGGAGCTTGTGGAAAAGTGTATCTTGTATTTGAGAAGGTAAACATAGAACAGGAATGTAGAATTATGTTAGCCCACTGTATTAATCTGATGAAGCAGTCACTCCATTGATGGATGCACAGGGCATTAAATTGTGAACAAGTGACCTGCATGTCAGCCTTTTAAAAAGGGTAGTATTTGTGAGACTGGAAAGTGTGGAGCAGCACAGTTTGAATTACCACTGAACAAAAAGTGAACTCTTGACACTTTATCATCACAAAAGTTTAACCAAATTTAACAAGAATCCAGTGTCACTGTAATTCTGGTAACCCCCACATATTTCAAATGTCTGTCACAAAACTTGTGTGAAAATTGCTCAATTAAAATGTTAGAAATATCAACCACGTTTCTAAAAAAAGTGCATTTACTTTTTTATTATAACAATCTTATGAATGTATAACCCGATTGTCTAATTTGATGTTATTTTGTAGAAAACGTGCAATCGATATGCCATGAAAGTTGTGCAGAAGAAACGCTTTAACAGCATTAAGGGACAGAACAGAAATAACCCAGACAAGACTCTAAATGAAGTGAACATTCTTAGAGCCCTCAAACATGTGAGTTAAAAGAATATGGAGAGATCTTCATTGTTTGATGTCAGTGTTAAGTTTTGATGTTAATGAGGATACTGTTTGCAGCCGTGCATCATTCGAGTGGAACATATCGTGGACGCGCCGGACGCAGTCTACATAATTCTAGAGCTCATGGAGGGTGGTGAGCTATTTGATCGCATTCAGTGCTCAAAGCAGCTGAACGAATCCGAGACAAAGCTAATTTTCTACCAGATTGTTCAAGCAATCAAATACTTGCATGATAACAAAATTACTCACAGGGACCTGAAGGTAAGTTTTAGTTAAGTTATAAAAACAGTTTTGCAGACTTTTCAGCATATTTTGTTAAATGTGTGTTTCTCAGTGTGGCAGCGGTGATGACGCTCGTATACAAAGTGACCATAAATCATTACAGTTCCAGAATCTCCACGATTCTTTCTCATATTAAGTTTAAATTTCTTTTCTTTTAGCCTGAAAATATTTTGCTAGCAAGCGAAAAGCGGGAAACACTCGTAAAAGTATCCGACTTTGGCCTTTCCAAGTTTGTAAACTCGCAGAGCATTATGAAGACCTTCTGTGGTACCCCACTGTATGTTGCCCCAGAGGTTCTTGTAACCAAAGGAATGGGCTCCTATACCACACAAGTTGATATTTGGAGTTTGGGCGTCATTTTATTTACATGGTAAGTGTCAGTTTCTTTACAGAACATGGACCGTCTGGTTCATATCCATAGAGAATGACAATTTCATTGACAGATCACAAAGTGTCCATTCATATAGAGGAAATTGGTACTGATGCTGTTGGTTTGGTTGGAGGCACTTGGATTACATCACCTTAGTAATTTAGCTTGGCAGAGAAACACTGCATTCACAACGAAACTTCATCCATTGTCATCAGTTTGTAAGCCCGCAATAAAGATCTCGGTTTAATCGCATGCTGTCCACAGTTTTAGTAGTTGTTGGTCAGTGTTATTGTAAAGCTGAAGTCCTGGTACTTACCAAGCACCACACCCTAAAGATGTATGGGGCAGTGGAGGTACAGCTTTTCCTTGACCTCAGCGAGTGGTCGGTTTCACTCCTCGTCTGCTTTACACCCTTGGGGAAAGAACGCCTGACACCCATTGGATAGGAGACTGGGTAGGCCTCAGAGCATTTAGCAGACATTTTAATGACCATTAACTAATCTTAAAAAGATGCTGTACCAGGGAGTAGGTTTGAATACCACAGCTGTAAAGGAAATAAATGCATTATATACACAGCTGATGAGCAGGGGATGTGGCAAACTACTCTACGAGAATAAGCAACGGCAGCATCGAGAGTCAGAATTGCTAGGCAACAAAATTATTGAATATTTATCAGCATACAAGTATTTGGGATAATTATCTCAATTACTGAAGGGATATGGAAATAAAATTAGTCCAGAGAAAGGGGTGGGGGGGTTGAAATGTTGCATATGTCAACATAACCACAAATAAGAATACATGTCAGAAAGGGCAAATTTGAATTACGGTAGTTAGGCTCAAAACAATTAGCTACAGTGCACGTACAGAATGAAAACAAATACAGGGGTCACATAACCATTACATCTCAAAACACCTGTAGATTACAGCAAACAAATCCTTGGGGAAAAAGAGATCTGTGGTGTCAGGAGAAAATATGCAGAGACTGGCTGCACCTACAGGGTTTGTGGTGATAATGTTTATATAGAAGGGAACTTTGCTTTAAACTTCGGAGGTAAAGTTTCTTTTGAGTATGTAGTGATATCTGGGTTTTGTTTTTAATTTTCAGTTTGAGTGGCTACCCACCATTTTCGGCCGAATACCGGCCACTGTCACTAGTTGAACAAATCATGAATGGAGCGTACTCATTTCCTGCTAGGTACTGGCAAGGAGTTTCTAATAATGCCATTGACCTGATTAGGAAGATGTTAACAGTTGATCCAAGCAGCAGAATTACAATTGACGAAATTCTGTGTCACAGGTGGCTACAGGTAAAAGTTACTCTATGCATTATCAAAACTTGTCACCACTGGTACTTACTAGTCGTCTTTGGCCAATAAACTTGCACATACAAGTATATTTATTTTGTTCTGTATAGGACAAGAAGCTGGAGAAGACATTTAAAGAGCTGACAAAGCACGCGCATCAGGATGACGAGCGTTCTCCGCCGCAGAGACGTCGGAGGCTCGACGGAGAAGACACGCATTAAGTCTGATCTGTGGAACCAAAGATACTGGTGCTAAAGAGATCTGAGAAGTTGCAATTTCATACCTCATTTGTTAAGTACAAGTCAGGTGAAAATGTTACCACATACTAGAACCTAATGTACTTACTTAGGACATTCGCTGCCATCAAGCTTGCTTCTGCCAGTTGTGATTGGTTTGGAGTGTCCAATTGTGATAGCTTTTCAGGCCACATACAAATATGTTCCTTATGACTGATGATGCCTTTTGCTGTTTCACTGCTTCATGTTTGAAGTGAAGTCGTCTCTTATAAAATTACGCCACAGAACGCAACAATTCATTGAACTCCGATTCCTTGTTCAGTTACAATCTTGGTTTGAGAGTTTTATAACATTTTCCATTCTGAAATTTTATAGTTCGGCTTTGAATTGCCTGAACGAGTAAATGTTTCACAGACTAAATGATTGGCCTTTTATATTTTTGAAGGATGTACCTGCATCATTGGGCTACGTGATATGCAAATTGTTAATGTGCTAGTTTTGATAATCACCGTTGGAAGTGCACGGCTGTCCTCTTATGAACGGGCATGTTGGTACAAGTGTGAAAAATTGAATAAGCACAAACTTAGGCGATTAGTTTTAAGTTATGTTCCCGTAGGTCAGGACGGCTAGAGACATAATTATGTCATTTCCCCACATATTTATTCTATACAGTTATGATTATTCAGTTAATAGAAATTTATATTTGCTAAGGTGACACAAGAATTAAAACTTCTTGTCTTGTTTGCTGCTGTGCCCCAATTTCTTGGTCACAGGGCACCGTTTGTTGTTATCACTGTTCTTGTTAACAGTGTGTTTCAGTTCCTTATAGAACAGAATCATATACGTTATTATACATTTAGTCAAATTTCACTATATCAGATCATGCATGTACATTTTTTTGTATGAACCTTTATAGAAAATACAAGTTTTCACTGTGTAATCATCATGTAAATCAGTGATTTGTTGTTCAACAGAAGAATCTGACAAGAGTATATATATACTTTTGAAATTGAAAAGTCTTAATTGTAGTTCTGCAGCCATGTCATATCAGCTGCATAGGCTATATATAGTTGTATTATTTTTGTAAATGATTATAGTCATCATTACTGCATTTAGAAACGTAAAAGGATTATATTATTTTTTGTTGTTTTTTGATTGAACTATTCTGCAGAAAGTTTTGTATGGCAATGCCAATTTCTTAATTGATTTTTGAAAGTAATAATTTCAGTAATGAAAAAATATAACATTTTGTTGCACTAAAGTACAAATGATTCCTCACATGACAATGTAAGCACAGTTTAGCCTTTAATCCCCCCCCCCCCCCCCCATAATGATGTAAGGAGAAATGTAACTGGAGCTGTACTGCAGGTCAGGAAAGCGTGATACTGTACACGAGAGTTAAGTAAGTTCCTGTGATGTATGCGGCATGGGGAGTCGTGCGCTGCACTAGTAGCAGACTGAACCTCATGCTCGTTCTAATACTCGATAACGCAGAATAAAGCAGTCAGTAATGACAAAACAAATAAATAACAATACTACAAACGGCAGAAAGCAACAAAGACACGTGAGAAATATCTCCACTCAGGAATGTGGAGGCTACACATACACCCACCATCAGTCGCCTACCAGGCCACCTACGTCACAAGTATTTATTTAACTCTCAGGTGAAGTGGTGAAAGGGAACCTGCAAATGTGACCAGTTATTGCATTTAACTGATATCAGGTACATGGTAGTTTTTGGTGCCGACACTTTTACTAACATCTCAAGACACTGTTAGCTGCAGAATGAAACATTATATTCCGAGTATTCTTTTCTAGGAATTATGACACTTTCTTTCAAGTTGTGTAATTTAGAAAATATGGATAATTGCTGTGATTTTACAAGTTTATTAACCATAAGTACAAGACAAGACTTTTGTTGACTACTGAAGTTTGTCATTTATATATTTTATTTTGTTCAATTTTATAAAAATTAAAGCATTTATAAAAAAAAATTACCTGCGTAATTTATTATTTCTCATGGAACAGATGAACTATTTCTCTTGAGAAGGTCGAGCACTGGGATTCTGATTACAAGGAGACAGCCCTGAGCAGTAATATGTCAGGATTTGTAGCTGAACCCATACTGTATGGTTTAAAAAGAAAAGGGACAGCTTTCCAGGTGCCCTCATGTTTTAACATTGTTTTGTGGGACGCTGGTTCTTCGAACTCTGGCTTGTGGTTTTCCTCATCGAGGTTCAGACTGCTTTACAGCATAACTCTTCCGTGAAGTTGCAGTTTTTATCAATTTTATGCAGTTTTTTGAAATAAATTTACGTACCTGTAGACTTCGCTGTAACCTGGGATTGTACCTCAACTTAATGCAGAACTTAAAACCCACCTGGAAAAGAAAAACAAAATCACAAAATGCGAAAAAATACATTCCACACTGATCAGTCTGAATGGCAAGTAATATGACGCATGATCTTACCTGCCTCCCGTCACATATTTCTGAAGTCGTTGGCCGTAGCACTGCTGGAAGTATTCTTCTGTGTCAAGATGTCTTACTCTTTTGAACAGCGGCTACACCTGGACATATTGATGAGCCAAAACAAACCAATGACATGCTTCTCTGATTGTGATCCCTCTGTATACAATGTCAAAACAGATCTGAACACTCTGTCCACGCATATCTGTATGTTTGGAACAAATACACAAATGCTGCATCACTCAGCAATGGCTAAGTTCACAACTTTTTGACGCTACTACGTACACACACTTACATTTACACTTAGTTCAAACATACTGATAAAAATAGAGAGTATTTTTTGACAGCTATGTCAAGGTACAGCCCTTCCACCGTATATGAACACTATACTCGCTGCTTTTCACAGCCAGCTAAGTTCATTTATCTCTATTACACGAGAAGCTGAAAATGTTTCCACATGCTGTGGTTCTCTGGATATGTAGGACATCAAAACGAAACGCTTTAAATTTTCACGTGTAAAATGTTCTGAAAGACTTCTTAAAAATTGACCTATGACTTTGTTCAATACTTTATGTTGCTGTTTTGGTTTCTTGTCTTAATATGCCAATTCTTACTTTACTGACTACATTCTGAATATTTTATCTGTGGGCAGCTACAACACTGGTAAGTTTTCACTTAATTTAAGCCTGATAAACACGTGATGCCCTTATATAAATTTTTCTATGTCCACACAAAAGGAATCTTGAGTCACGCGTAAATTTTTCTACATCCACACAAAAGGAATCTTGAGTCACGCCTTAATACCACAAGGGCACTATCACTTTTTATCATCCACCCTTGATGATTCATCAGGGCGAACTTCACTTGGCGAAGCAAAACCTGTGCAATGATCACCCTCAGTGGGAAGACGCAGAGCTACTCTGGGAAACATTAAAGTTTGACTAGGTATACCATTCACTGGGTGAACTCATCAATAAGATATTTCAAAGAGAGAGTTTCCATTTAATTTAGAGTGATTAATCACACATGCTATTTACATTATCAACTGAAGACACAAAATTAATCAGTCTTAACTTGTGAAAAATTGCCCCTTCACTGCAGTTTTTCTTCTTTAGGTCACACATAAGGGATTAAGTTCCATCAATCAAAAGCAGTGTTAGCAGCACACTCTTTTGCGTCATGCACAACATTTACATTTAAAAAAATATGCTGTCGACATATCCCTCCAGCCCACAAACACACAACAAGTGCTTTCAGGGTGCATCATACAGCCATTAAAGTGATCTGGACTGTAGGTATACTAATTATTATAATTAACATTTAGGAACACTAATGCAGTACATTCTGGATGAGTGGGAAATTACCGCCCATGCCTCGATTACACTTTTCACTCAACCAAAGCCCACAACACATGGTGCTAAAGAACACAAACACATCGTATACTGCCTGTAAAATATGACGGAGTGCAGCCATCTACTGTTATTTCTGCCCTCTTGAACAATATAAAACTACAGGTGTTCAAACTTCTGAGCTCCGAACAAAATACAGTTCTTCAGAAATAAAACAGTGGTTCAAGTCTTAATTTTGAACATCATGTAAAAGGTTGAAATTCAGAAATACTGGCAAATTTCAGAGATAAATCTTACTTAAATGCTTTATGGATTCTCCCAAAATTAGCCCATATAAATTTCGGCTTATATTATTCTCTTAAAGTACACCGAATTTTGGTTCATAAATTTCAGGAAAGGATAATGTGAATAAATAAACTAGTATCACAATAATAGATATCTCATGCAAATCAACTACACAAACCATTTTCTAAACTAAGAGTGCCCAGTTTGCATTTAAACTGACTTCCTCTCACCTATCAAAAGCAATAAATTCTGTCACACTACAGAACTCATATACACTTCAACATTATTAATGAATGTGTTAATTATGGCTACTGAGATACAATTTACATCTTCTTCCTCAGTAAATTCAATGTAAAAGTTTCTGTAACTGACACAGGGCAAGAAACAAATTGAATACACTCAACAGAGCTGTATCCAAACAAAACAGTGGCATCATTCGGAGAAATCCTACGTTTAGCGGCATACAAATAAGCTGGATGGCAATGACTGGTGCGAGTAAGTCACGGTGTGACGCTTAGAGGCATTCGATTAAGTACTTGATGAGTTTCATACAAGAGATCATTTCTATACCATACAACTGGTTACATGAAAACTGACGGTTTTACCCATCTCAGCGTGGAACGAAGTAGACCATATGAAAGTCCCTTTACCAATAAATATAAAATCAAAAAACCAAACTGTCATCAAAAATGTGTATTACTAAAGACAACACATATTTGGAATGAAAGTCTGAAGCAGTTTTTTGACTGGCAGGCAACCCATATAAAGAGGAAATACTTCGATGCTTTAGATAGCAACTATACAGTGCCCCGGTACAAAGTGTTGAAGTAGAAGATGCGCAAATTCAAGGTTCGTATGGGTAACTACAGCTGATAAAAGGAAATTAACATTAGATTATCTGGTATGTGAATTTATGTGTTCAGTGCTGAGACAGAACATACAGCACATTTAATTTTGATCACTTTACTGCTGAGGTCACTCACCCTTCATTTTGTGCTACCAGCATTGCGTCAAGGGTCAAGTAGATGCTACCAGCATTGCGTCAAGGGTCAAGCTGAGCACAGAGACGACGACTTCGGGGGGAAGGCGGCCGCATAGAACACATTTTCACTACAAACTCATCATCATTGCATCGCACACACATGCACACAATCTAATAAATAAGGTATCGGTATGTATACAGTAAAAAAGAAACGTGGCCGTCAATAACCGTCCCTTTCAGGAGTGAAAACGAATATTTGGGTTTCCTTGTACTGCTCAATGTCTTTATCCTCACTAGACAATCCGCACTTCAGACTAGAAAACTGGATAGTTAGTTTCAACAGACTGTCTTGCATAAAATTGATGAAGAACAGTTTTCAAGTCCATGAAGTGCTATCACCTGTAAAGTCCGCGTGGCATAATTCAGACTGACATCCAATTCACGTAATTTCCGCTGTACGGCAATTTCGCCCGTTTGCTCAGAAGCGATGAACGTGCAAGCGTTCATTCCGGCTTGCCCAAAGAGGAAACTATCGAATGGAAATGATATGCAAGCGAGATGTCGCCGATAGTTTAAAGGACTAGCGGCATGTCTAATTGCTTTTGAACGCCTTCCACTTCAAAAGGTCTGAATATATTTCCAAGATTTGAAGAATAAGCACTGACTGCAACCTGTGATAGTTCAGCACTAAGCCACGAGATTCTGGGACTGTTCACTGGAGGACTGCGCGTCTTCTGCGTACATATGAGTGGGCTGCCCATTTCCTGCAAGAAGGCACACAGAAAAATTGAATGATGCAAACTGATGATAACTGCAGGAAGTTAGTCCAGTCTTAATGATGTCTACAATAACAGCTGCTGTGCGTAATTGCTTTAACCCTTGAAGCCAAAAGTCATCTACAAAATATTTACAAATTCACCTAAAATAAAACAACACATCTCCATTACAAAGATCAATATGACGATCAGGTAACAAATTCTGTGCACAAAACTCAAAGTTACCAAATGTTAAAGCGGGCAATTCACCAAGCTTTCATTTTAAAGGATTAATACAATGAGCCTTACTAAGATCAAATGGATGTTAATATAATTTTCCTGGAAGACTTTTAACCTCTTCTGCTTAAGGTTTCAGAGTTGATATTTCCCTTGAATGCATTACTGATGATCAAACAGCATCTTAGAGCAAAAATTAAGTCACAGTACCATTCTACAAACTTTAAAATAATTGAAATTTTGTGGAAAAGTCAATCAACCTGGAAACGAATCAAATACAACTTTAAAATCTTAAGTACTATGGTAAATTATGTCAAAATAAGTAGGTTTGAAAATGCATGGTTTTATAACTGCCCTTTTTTAAGCAATTTCAACACAGACTCAGTCCCTCTGCAGTAGTTGGTATCAAGTTTAATTCCCAATTGAGCAAAACATATCAATATTTTAATATTATTTCAATAAACTTATCTTTATGGGCCATTCTGCACAGCAGCGTTTGTGATAAACAAAACTAAGTTGAATGCAACAACTACTCCACATTCTTTCCAGTTCATTATTCGTCATCCTCTCATTCAACGCTAAATAGTGTTACATAAACTATAAATAGAGAAATACTTCACATCGAACATGCACGCCCAGTCACCAACCACAATACATTCATGCATGCAGACAAGCAACCTCCAGACACCAAAAAGAATTTGTAGTAGCATGCGAACGTGTACAACAAGAGTGGAAGCATGAAACTCAAATTTTATAGAAGTGACTCCGCAGTTTTGAAAAACAAATACAAATTATTTCCAGTAAGATAATCATTGGTAACGTTGGTCTTCTGGGTTATAATGCAATTTGGACCTACAGACAGATGCTAGCATTTTGGAGAAACATACTGCCTGCATCTTCAGGGCTCAAGTCGCACGCACGTAGAAGCCCACACAGCATTATAACCCAGGAGGCCAACATTGACAAGAGAAACTTACTTACAGTGCAAAGTATTACGAGTAGTGAAGGGCACAAAATTACAAGTATGCTTCTATTTGTTATGGTACTGAGATTATAAATTTCGGTATGTGTAATGATGCCTCTCAATCCAAGGTTATTCCGAAACAGACGTCAGTCCTTGAGGATGCA